CCCCATGTAAAAAAAAGCCCGGTCTAGGTAGTGTTAAAGTGGGGGGCAGGTTTAAGTTACGGGTATACGATGCTTTGGTTTTAAGTGGAACATAACCATGTTTGAGATGGGGGGAGGGCAGGCTTACGTTAGGGGTACGATGCTTTGGTTTCAAATGGGACATAACCATGTTTGTAATGGGAGGGACAGGCTTAAGTTAGGCCGTGTCGCCTTAATTTTAAGAATGGCATCCTCTAAAGACCCCCCAAGCTAGTGCGCGCGGGCGAATAAAAAAAATTCCGACCAAAAATAAAAAACCACATAAATACAAAGCCGGTATTGTGGATTTGCGTCAGCACATAGTGACGTATACAACAAACCGGCACATGCTGGCTTTTTGCGGAATTTATGAGTCGGTTCTGTTTGCATGTACTGAGATCTTGAGTCATGGATCTTTTGGAAGCTTGTATGCCATCCTCAGTATTGTCGCTAAGTAGCATGACCAGGCCAGAGGTTTAGAGGACGTGATCTTCTTTTAGGACGATTTTTGACACAAAAATGATGCCACAGGGTATATGGACCATGTTGAAATGTGGGCTTTACAATACAGCGTATGGTAACGATGTATGATGAATGCTTAGCTTGCCATGTACGACATGCTAGTTGTATTGTACGTAGTGTGCGGTACGTATAATACGAAAGTTGCATTTCTATTTAAGGTACATTTTGTAAACTATTTTTGACACGGAATTCGTTAGGTATGGTAAATGCCCCTACGTAAGGCCCTTGTCGTATATTCAAAATGGTACTTTTGAATGCAGCAGCGTAGACGTATTTACGTCAATTTAAGGTACCTTTTTTGAAATGATTTTGGCACGAAAATGATGCCATAAACAAGTCACTTTTTAGTAAAATTGAATTGAACTAAAATTTGATGGATTTTATCTAATAGAATGTCATTGATTGAGCTCTAAGTTTATCTTATGCACATTGCGGCAAAAAAATCATAGTATTACTTTTAATAATGATGCAGGAACCCAGACTAAGGCTGGAAGTTCTACTGACGGCCACATAGAGAACAAAAAGGCAGTTCCTGCATTTCTGGCAGCAGCAGCGAAAGAAATAGGAGGAAAAGTCGTCAGCCAGCTTGGCGACAGGATCGCGGACGGTGTAGTGGAGAACCACCAGGAGAAGGTGGTGAGCGGTCTGCAGGACTACCTGGGGAAACAGATGGACAAGTTCGACGATGAGTACAAAGAACTGCTGAAGGACACCAGTGGGCTGGCAGCGGGTTTGAATCGGCCGGTAGAGGAGGTTGGTAAAGCTCTTGTCACACATTCAGAACAAAGTTCGGTCCGCGAACACAAGTCGATCAAGGCTGCCTAAAGTTCGGGAGCAGTTTGAACAGCTTTCGGACGCCCTTACCACTAAAAGAAAATTTTCAATTTGTGTGCAGACCAACATATTGAAGAAAAGTTCGGTAAAATAAGATGGAATGATAATTCATTTATCATATATACTTAAAAAATTGACTGCTTTACATTACGGTAAAACACATACTGTGAGAATGTTTAAAGTTAAAACTTTTGATCCAACACAAAAATTCTCTCACCTAGAGCTTTCAACCAGTCACTCTGGTCTTCCTCAGTAGATTGACCCAGTGAAGCTTGTCACGTGGCTTCTTTGAAGTGTGACGTCAACACTGGGTCAAAGGTATCTGGTAGACGATGTCGGCCCCCGTCGCGGTTCAATGTAGGGTGATGGGCCCTGATGTAAATGGCTTCCTTCACCCCTCTCAAGAAATAGTCTTGTTCAGTGTCTAAAATCCTTACAGTGTCAAGTGAGACATGGTGTCCGGGTGACTCTATGTGAATGTGTTGAGACACCTCCGAACTGGCAGAACTAGGCCGTGTATGTTCCTGAAACCTGGCTTTTAGAGACCTCTCCGTTTCACCAATATAAGTTTCCTGGCAGGGCCCCCTGTTGTTCTTGCCCTGGCAGGGGATGTGGTAGATGACACCACACTTCTTCTCTTTGGGGGTTTTATCCTTGGGCGCAACAAGAATGTGTCTTAAAGTAGTGGTTGGTTTGAAACAAGTTGCAATCCCGTGGGAAATGAAAATCCTCCTGAGAGCTTCAGACAAGTCCTTGATGTATGGCAGGACCACCAACCTCTTGGACTTTGTTCCTGCTGAGGGTTTGGTGTTAGGAGGTTTTGGGCAGGTCGCTTTGTTGATGGCCCACTGGGGGTAGCCACAAGTTTTTAATGCCTGGGTCAGGTGGGACTTCTCAGTCTCTAAATCCTGTGGATCTGACACTATGGTGTTGGCTCTGTGAAATAGAGTCCTAATCACCCCTAGTTTGTGGTCAAGTGGATGGTTAGAGTCAAAGTTTAGGTATTGATCTGTGTGTGTGGGTTTCCGGTAAATCCGTATCTGTAGTGACCCATCCTCCTGTATGACTGTAAGGGTGTCAAGAAAAGGTAAAGATCTGTTCTGTTCCTCCTCAGTAGTAAACTTAATATCAGGGTCTAAACTGTTCAGAAAGTCTGTAAATTCCTGTGCATGTACTTTCTTCAACTTCGTGTGAGTGTCATCAACATAACGATACCACCAAAGTGGGGGGGTGGGGGGCAGTGTTAATAGCCAACTGTTCTAGATGTTCCATGTAAAGGTTACAGACAATGGGAGAAACTGGGGAGCCAATTGCTGCACCATGAATTTGCTGATAAAACACTTCATTATGTACAAAGTACGTGCACTCCAAACAGATCTTAAAAAGGCTTACAACATGTTTGGGAGTCAGAGTTGTACGTTGTGCTAGTGTGGTGTCGTTCTGGAGTCTACTTGCTATAACATCCAAAGTCTTATCAATAGGAACTGAGGTAAACAGGGCTGTAACATCAAAGGATCTGAGTTCCTCGTCCTCTTCTACACGTTGGTCTTTTATGAGTTCCGTAAAATGTTGGGAGTTCACAATATGATGGGGGGACTTGCCAACCAAAGGGGAAAGTATGTCAGCCAAGAATTTTGCACTGGGGTAAGTAATGGAACCAATACTACTAACGATGGGTCTAAGTGGTACACCAGTCTTATGAATCTTTGGAAGTCCGTAGAATTTCGGTGGAGTGTCTGTTGTAGGGTAAAGTTTTCTATAGGTAACTCTATTAAAGCCCTGTTCCTTCTCAACAACATGCATTTTCCCCAATGGATAGCGTGTAAACTTTAGATTTCAACAACGGTGATTCAAACATATTTTGCTGAACGGATTTTATAGAAATTGTGTTGAGAGATCATGTCTACTGAGGAAGACCAGAGTGACTGGTTGAAAGCTCTAGGTGAGAGAATTTTTGTGTTGGATCAAAAGTTTTAACTTTAAACATGTAACTACCAACACAGATGAACTTTCATGATAGTACTGTGAGAATGTTTACTGTATTCTTTAAAAAACATATTACGTGTAATAGGCGGACATCCAGCTTGTTCCTAGACCAGGAGCCACGATGGGTAACATGTATGCACCACCAGGCTGGGAGATCCGACATAAGTACAAGTACAAGGAAGACAGGTTTGTTCATAGTTGTTTTTAACAATCCTACACTCTTTAGTTGTCTTAATTACTATATTGCGACAATCAAATGCATGCATGCATGAATGAATGACGACCTTTAATGAACATGTTGCCACAGTTGGCTAAGCACAGGTCACAACAAAACAAGGTGAACAGATACAGTTAACAGATAGATACAACATGCATTTTCCCCAATGGATAGCGTGTAAATTTTAGATTTCAACAACGGTGATTCAAACATATTTTGCTGAACGGATTTTATAGAAATAGTGTTGAGAGATCATGCCTGCTTAACCATGATAATATAAACGTCAATAAATCACGTGACATCAGTTCATTAAAATTAGATGAGGACTCATCAAGATCAAGTTTGCTTATATCAGAAAAAAATATGATTTTTCTGTAATTTTAAAGAGATGAAGAAACGGTCAGTTCCGGCGGACAGGCATCAGCCTACACCTACCCAGCCGGACTAGGACCAGTTCTGATGAACGGCTGCTTCGGGACAGGCTATAAGAATGGAGACCCCTGCTGGGAGGCCAAAATACCACAAAAAGGCTGTCCTGTAAGTCCTGTGTCTGTCTGTTGGAGAGCAATATTATAATCCATCTCTCTGTGCAATCTATCTCAATCTGCGTCTGTATTCATGATTCATGGTAGGTATTAGATATAACAAGTGCTGCGGAAATAAAAATCGGTCTGCCTGCTTTATTTCCTCCGCCATGTTTAGGAAGCTTTCTCATCTTTGGCCATTAAGTGCTTTTTATTTAGAGCTGTTTTGCATGTTTCTTGGAAACAAAAGTTGTAAAACCTTTCAAATGTTCAGAATCTGATCGACGGCGCAACCTACCTTGGCGTCGGGTTTGACGGAAGAGGCGTGTACTCGGCTGAGTCTAGGAAGAAAAGTGTCATCCAGAGATCATGCAAAAACTTGCAAACGTAAGAACTACATACTAGTACATTAAAAATTTATTTGGACCCCTACTAAAAACTAATGACTTTATGATATCAGTCCCCTATCCTGAATTAGATTAAGTGAACCTTGCTGATAAGTAAGTGAAGCTTGCTGATAAGTAAGTGAAGCTTGCTGATAAGTAAGTGAAGCTTGCTGATAAGTAAGTGTTAAAACCCTTTCTAGACGGTAGGGGTGTGTGCTAAAAGTGCCCGCGTCAACTTTGATGTCACATAGTGTCTAAACGGCTAGCGCTAGAACGGCCAAACTTGGTGACTTTTCCTAGAATATTGCTAACAACAATTCTGTTTCAGTGGTGTAAGATAATACATTTTGTGTTGCCATGGCAACGGGTTTCTGAGAGGCATTTTTTTTGCTAAATTAAGTATTTTTCATTTCAACAATAGAATTTTATGGGTTTTATGTCAAGTTACTCACGGTTTCTAATATTAATAACATACTATGTGATTTTAGGTAAATTTCATCATTAAAATGCATAATTTTTTGCTAATTTGATGACGTCATAGGCCAAAATCCAAGTTGGCGGACCATATTATGAGAACAGGTCTATACAGTTTTTTTTTAATTAAAAATTCATCAATACTCCCACCAAGCCCAAAAAAGCCCGGTCTAGATAGGTCTAGAAAGGAATCTGTACGTTAGTAATAGCCAGACGAACCCGATTATTCTGACACCACCTTATTATCTAGGTTTAATTACCAATTCTGGTATTTCATCATGTAGGCACAGCTAAAGATAAAACTCTAAAGTCAAATGTACAACATGTGTGTGTGTTTGTGTGTGGGTGTGTGCGCGTCTGCGTGTGGGTGTGCTTGGGTTCGCGTGCGTGTGTATTGTATATGTGTGTGTGTCTGTGTTTATGTGTGTGTGTATGTGTGTGGGTGTGTGCGAGTCTGCGTGTGTGTGTGTTTGTGTTCGCGTGCGTGTGTATTTGTATATATATATATATGTGTGTGTGTGTGTGTGTGTGTGTGTGTGTGTGTGCAGAATACGGATAATTGAAAATAAACTACAAATACTAGAACACTGAGTCAAAGGAATGTCATTTTAGGAATATTATCATACATCTAAACTTACATTGCTTTTAACGAAAATCTTCATATAGCGAACAGCATGCGTAGTAACTTCTTTTCTCTTTGAACAGATACGGTAAAAACAAAGTACCTGACTCTATGACCGTGCAAGGCATATACGACACAGATGTAGAATCCTACACCTTCAGCTCAACGGAAGAATACAGGCAATACCTTGCGGAGAAATCGGCCGTCACTTCTGCCAGGGCCATGTTCCAGGAAGAGATCAACAAGGCTGCTGGACACGGAGCAGGGGGTGGACCGTTTGGACTCATTGCCTGGGGAGGGAGTGGACACTCCAGTCAGAGTGGCACATCCAGCCAATCATCAGGCTCCAGTGCCAGCTCCTCTGCCAGCGCTCAGCTGAGTGAGAAGCAGACACAAACGTTCATGGCCATGCTGGAGATAAACATATTCAGGTAATAAATGATGATGCTTCTTTCATAGGACAAGTATTCAGTGGTATAAAATGCTGAACATGTTTCTTTTTCTCCGGTAAAAAATAATAATAAAAAATACCGATGAGGTATTTTCAGGCTATTTAGCTTTGAAAAGTAAAATGACTTGCTACTATCCGTGATACCTAGATATGAGATCTTCATGGACGACGTGACGCCGGAACAGTTAAACGTGGGCTTCCTACGAGACTTCATTTCCCTGCCTGAGTCCTACTTCTCTCCCGGTGCAGAAATTATCTTCCGTAAGTAGAGAAATACTCAGTTTAGTTATATCAAATCTATTTAGTTTATTAACTAAGGCAAATACATTAAACTCAATTTCAATGTTATTTTTCAAACGTTTATGACTTGTTTATTAATAGGGAAATGTATATTCTTGGTGATGAAACCACTACAATTTGTAATTATCTAAAACACGTTTATTGTTGGCTTGTTGTCTATAGCAATAACGGTAATATTACTTCTATTTCAGAAAACTTCTACCTTCGCTGGGGAACACACTACATCAAGTCAGCCAAATTTGGAGGCCAGCTGAAGATTATAAAAACAAAACAAGCTACACAGGACCTGTCGATGTCTGAATTCGCGACTAAAGCCGAGGCTGACTGGAAGATGACCCTCAGCACCTTCTCAGCGCAGACGTCACAGACCAAGTCCAGTAGCTGGTTTCACGAGCACGAGTCTAAGACTGAATCACATGAGTCTACTGGACAAGCAGCTTCTGATTCTGAATCACAGGCCAACAGACAGGAAGAGAAGCAAGCGTAAGTCTGTTTATTTAATAGTTAAATATAGTCATGAATACAACTTTATTATTAGTTGCAAATAAGCCCTGTTGTTGGTGCAAAATTTCATAATCTAGTATTTTTGCAATGCCAATGTCATTATTATTTTCCAAACGATCTTGCTTCGTTTTGAAAGATCTTTGTTATTAATTTAGAACACATATGCATTATCAAAATGGAATCTTTTGTTTCATTTTAGAACTGACACTTGGTTAAGTTAACATTATAATTTTACTTGTCAAAATCACAGATTGTGCTCAATATTTTATCTCTTCCATTCAGATCAGCCCAGGAGTACAGTAACGAGGTTCTGGTGGTTCAAGGCGGAGACCAGAAGATCGCCGCTGTCATCACGGAGTTGTACACGACAGCCCTAACAACAGAGCTGAAGGACTGGTTAGAGTCCATTAACGACTACCCCAAACCCTTCTCCTTCGTGTTAAGGCTGGTCTCAGATCTACTAAACATCCCATTCGTCTCGCTCTTCCCTGCAGGAGATGTGGACTATGGTTGCCTCGGTAGGAGGTAAGACTATACAGTTATGTATATAGTACTTTTCAACTAAACCTGCCTATAGTATATGTGGAGGTAATCAAAGAAAATAGTCTAAATAGACAGGCTACCACATTAGACAATATGTCTTTCACTAGATATCAAATTGATATCTAGTAGTAGATTGTACATTTAGCCTTGTTGTTAAATTACGAAATAGTAATTGCAAAATTACTATTGCAAAAGAACATCCGAGTGCGGGCAACTAAGATCATCCTCGGCAACAACTTTCACAGTTACTCTGCAGCATGTGAAGCACTACAACTCCAGAAAATCGGGGACCGACGTGTCTCTCTGTGTCTGAAGTTCGCCCAGAAGCTGTACAAGTCTGAACTGTACAGACATTGGTTTTAGACCAATTGCAAGCACGCACAGCAAGATATGCGAAAAGCCCGTTGCCTTACCTCATCCAGCTTTTAAACAGCACTCTGTAATATAATCCTGTAATGAACATGCCGTTATATACTTTGATTTTAATCTAGTACTTTTAATGAGGTTGGTATTTTAACTTTTAGTGTTGTTTTGTAAAAATGTAATGATTATATTGTCACAATATGTTTTTATACAATGTACGGGACATGTAATTCAGCCTTCGGGCTGTGAGGTGTTTCAAATAAAACCCGCATTATTATAGTGCATGGAAGCATTCAGATAATGTACTTAGAACAATGGGATTTCAACTGTTTGATTTGCAATATACGTAGTTTACGCTATAACTCTATTCATAGTAGAAAACCGATTAATAATTGATTATCATCTTAGGGATCTTCAGACGGAAGTGGGAACTGGCCGAAAGTATTACACGCAAAATACAGTAAAACCGGATGTTGGCAACAATGGATCTAAAAATGGAAGTGAACCGGTAACGGTTACTGAGATCCGTTATTGTAATTTTGAAAACCGTAAAGCCCTTGAAGACAGCATGACGAAGAGGAGGCTGGCACTTCAACGTGCTGTTACAGTGTACCTAGAAGAGGTAAGGAGGATACTTGTGACATTAACATTCCACCTTTTTGCAAATAAACTTAACCCTACCTAGACCGGGGGGGGGCTAAAAGTGCCCGCGGCAACTTTGATGTCACCTAGCGTCTGAATGGCTAGCCGTAGAACGGCCAAACTTGGTGACTTTTCCTAAAATATTGTTGGCAACAATTCTTTATCATTGGAATAAGATAATAATTTTTTGTGTTGCCATGGCAACGGGTTTCTGACAGGCATTTTTTGCTAAATTTAGTACTTTTTGTTTCAACAATAGAATTTTATGGGTTTTATGTCAAGTTACTCATGGTTTCTAATATTAATAACATCCCATATAAGTTTATGTAAATTTTATCATTAAATATGCATAATTTATGCTAATTTGATGACGTCATTGGACAAAATCCAAGATGGCGGACCATATCATTAGAACAGGTATATACAGGTTATTTTCATTAAAATTTCATCAATACTTCCATTTCTTTTTCCAAAAAAGGTTTCAATGAAGGTCTTGAGTATGTTTACAATGTATTTTAGGCTTTATCATGAAAAAAAACTATTTTTGAAAATTCAAGATTCATGATCCAAGATGGCGGATATCTTAAATATGCATGACGTCATTTTATGACGTCACCGGTGTTGCTATGGGCAACATAAGACTTAGTACACACTAATATTCTGTCATAAACACTTTTGGTAAAGTTATGTTGTATACCAGGGAAGTTTTCAGGGAAAAACCTATTTACACGGTTTTGGCCAATAAAATCACAATTATGACGTCATAATGACGTCATATTACGTCATAACGACATAAAATTTGTGGATATGATAGATTTTCACTAGTACACCATTCTCTGAAAATTTGGTGGTCATACGACATACCGTTCGCGAGTTCTTAGGGGGGTCAAAAGAGCCCCCCCCGTCCCCCGT